GGTTTTGACAGTAGTTGTCACGCTTGGCAGGCGGGTTGGCAACCGCAGATAGATCTTTTGAGATATATTAAGAGGAACGCTACCGAAACAGACATACAGACAGACAGATAGACAAAGTTTCTTAAAAGTTATTGTTTTGGCTTCCAATGCACTTATTAATTTCCCTAATATCAATTTTTCATAAATAATGGGAATATGAATATATATATATATATATATATATATATATATATATATATATATATATATATATATATATATATATATATATATATATATATATATATATATATATATATATATATATATTCACTGGGTTACTATCCAAATATATTTTTACGGAAGAGGAATTGGTCGTTGTGCATTGATAGATGAAATATTTGCCGATATAATTAGCAAGCATGAAGGTGACATCAGGAGCCTTGGATCTTTGTTAAGATAAAATTACACACATCAGTGATAAAAGAGAGGTTTTGTTCAAGTAAACTTAATTATAAGCTGAGAAGATAGCCGTCTGGGTCCCGGCATAGAATAACCCCTTCATTTCCCGTGGGTGCCGCAAGAGTTGACTAAGGAACTCGTATGGTGGAGGGATGGGCAGCAGCGTCTCTTTTTAAACATCAAAAAAGACAAACTGCGGTCGCCAACCCACCTGCCAAGCGTAGCAAATACTAACAAACCTCCTTAATGGGGGAGGCTACGTTCAGCAGTGGACAGTTAGCGGTTGACACAACAAACTGAAAAGAACGGATAAGAAATACAACTTTCTTTTTTTTTCGATAAAGTGGATTTTACAATTATACATTTGTACAAATACATATTAGAACAAGAGTATTTTTTTAATTAATAGATAAATCAAGTCTATTATTATAAATATTATATTTATTTCTTATTTATTTTACAGTTTAACTTTATTATACAGTTTAATTGTATGACTTTGTACAAAAGTCGATTGCTTGGGTACCTCTATCCCATTCGTGTGTCAACCGTGAAGCAGTTGTGTTTGCATGGCTGTGTTTCGGTTTGAAGGGTGGTATATGGCGTGAATTTACTGGGTACAGAGGAATAACACCTGAGTCCTCAGGAATGGCAACGCATGGAAGGTATCATGGACGAAACAGTATATTGTGTTATGTCCATAGTACTGCTCATGTCTATAGGCGACGGTTACCACTTTCCATCAGGTGGGCCGTCAGCTTGTTTGCCATTCTAAGTTGTATATAAAAAAAAAATGTACTTACATTTAACGGACTTAACACCGGATAGTGTTCTCTAGCAGTCAACCATTGGGCAAACAGAGACATAGGTTTTTTTTTTTTTTTATTTTATAATGGATGGTAATGGAATAGTACCAGTGAGGGATAATAGGTGATAATGAAACAGGTTAGTAGACCCATCGTGATGAATTTAACAATAAATCAATCAGGATGGTTTCCAAGAGAAATCGCGTGGAGATCAAACTGAATAATTATATTACTAGTTAGGGGGGTTACTAATCCCCATTACTAACCCACTTCTCCTCCCAGAGACATAGGACCACCTCCACGTGGAGGTGGTCCTATGTCTCTGGTCATAGGTCTCCCCTCCTGGAGACCATCGTGCTGAATTCCACGTGTATTCATCACGATGGGATAACTGTTGCTAACTTACTGGTGCCCCGCCGGCGTATACCGTTAGTACGGGCATTGTCCTATTTTTAAAATAACAACCACAATATATTGAGATTGGTAAAACAAAAAAATAAAGCAGAAAATACTGACAAAATTGTGAAAACATGTACATTTTACTCCGCAATGTTTAAATAGCTTTTTGAATTTAGAACGCAAAATTTTAATAATTTGAGATTTACAAAATCCACTTGTAGATTTTACTAGCTGTTTTTTGCTCTGCAGACAAAACCAACACGTACATTGACAATCAGCGCTGGAGTAAAACCTTGATTGCAAAAGTGACGTAATCGTGTAATACAAAAATAATAAAAAACAACTCAGACGATTAAAAAATCTACTTTTTTGGGAAGTCGCTGAATCGAATTATTGTTAAGGAGCAAGCACTTTGAAAAAAGATAAAAAATTTCAAAAACTTTTTATAAACAATAATTGTTGACTTATTGTTAGGAAGTAATTTGCAACTTAAAACCGCAAGAGTCTTGTCATATACGTACGCATTTATCTATCGACGTTCTAGGTCAATGAACATCAGAGTGTATGAAAAAAATAAATACCTTATTGCAGTATATTAATTGTGAAGCTAGATAAAAAAGCTGGTCAAGTGCGAGTCGAACTCGTGTAACGAAGGTTCCGTAAAAAATCATCAAGTTAATTTTTGTTTTTTATAAATTAGTTAACAAATTTACGGTTTTCAGATTTTTTTCCTTTACTTATGCTATATGATATTATTTTTTGCCAAATTTCATGATACTAAATCAACGGAAAGTACCCTATAGGTTTTAATTCCCATTGCGAATGTCAGAATATGCGATATAAATGGAACGTAAACGGCCGTATCTTTTGATTGCATCGATTTAGAAGCTTGACTCTTTCACTGCTTTAAGAGATTGCAGATTACTTTCAACTTGATACCTCCACGCGTTCCTAAGAAAAAGAGTCTTGACAGACGGACGGACAGACAACGAAATGATCCTGTAAGGGTTCCGTTTTTTTCCTTGGAGGTACGGAACCCTAAAAGTAATAAGTTCCACATAATTACGCTCAACACCAACGCCTGGTCTTATATAGCTATTATTATATATATATATATATAGGCCTTCGCCATAGACCGCCATAAGGAACGATCCTGAGCCACCTGAATCCACTGGCTCCCTGCAATGCATTTGAGGTCGTCACTCCATATACTGGGAGGGTCGTACACTGCGTTTGCCCGTACGGGATCGCCACTCAAGAACCTTTCTTCCTCATCGGTTGTCGGTTCTTCGAGCTATGTGACCAACCCATTGCCACTAATGTATATAATATAACAATTATTAGAAATAACTCGAACAAACGTGAACTTAAAAAAAACCACTTTATTTGTAATTTTTCTAAATATTTTTTTTTATACAACTTAGAATGGCAAACAAGCTGACGGCCTACCTGGTGGAAAGGGGTAACCGTCGCCTATACGCATGAGCAGTACCATGGACATAACAGAGTATTATCTCGCTTTGTTTTTTGTGTATGTATGTTGTAATTTGTGTGCTGTAAGTAATGCAAATAAAATTATCTATCTATCTATCTATCTATACCGTTTCGCCCATGATACCCCCCATGCGTTGCCATTCCTGAGGACTCAGGTGTTATTCCTCTGTACCCAGTAAATTCACTCCATATCCCACCTTTCAAACCGAAACACAGCCATGCAAACACAACTGCTTTACAGTTGAAACACGGATGGGACAGAGGTACCTAAGTAAACGACTTTTGTACAAAGTCTCCTTCTGGTTTTGGTTTCAAGTTTGAGAATAAAATTTGTGAATATAATATTACAATCTGTTTATATATCCAATATAAATTTAATCCAGTATAATTTTAATTGTCAAAGCTCAAATAAGACCATTTACCTGTACACATATATTTTCTCCTAAACCTATACTAAATATTACGAGGTCTGTCCGGAAAGTTCGTATAAAAGTGTTCTGGAATGCGAGAAAGAGGAGTGGGGAGGCCAGGTAAGCGCAGGACCCCTTCCTTATGTCCCTAACAATGCTTCAGTTCTGGTCTGACCGCCGTGCGGTGCGAACTGGCTTGTCACGCCATCTGTGAAGTTACCTCTTAACGAAACCCCGTCGGCATGGAGCCCGCTTCCGTTGAAGAGCAGCGCGTCGTAATCAAGTTTCTCTCGAAACTCGGCAAGAATGGCCGTGAAATTTTTGCCGATCTCAGAACAGTTTATGGGGATGATGCTGTGAAGGAACCAACCGTCCACAAGTGGCTAAAAAGATTCAGAGAGGGCCGAGAAAGCGTTCAAGATGACCCACGTTCAGGACGTCCTTCCACTTCACATTCCGACGAAAACGTGGAAAGAATTCGAACTTGTGTTAATGGGGACCGTCGTTTAACGGTCAGACAGGTGGCTGAAGAGCTTAATTTGGGCAAAACCGTGGTCCACGAAATTCTAAGAAACGAACTTCAAATGAAAAAAATTTGCGCCAAGATCGTTCCGTGAGTTTTTGAGTAAAAATTCCATTACGGTGACCGAACACCCCCCCTATTCGCCGGATTTGGCCCCGTGTGACTTCTTCTTGTTCCCAAAAACCAAATTGGTACTTCGGGGGCGGCATTTGGGGGACATAAATGAGATAAAAAAAGCTACGACGGGGCAGCTGAGAAACCTACAACCAGAGGACTTTCAAGGAGCCTTCTCACAGTGGAAACGGCGTTGGCACAAGTGCATTATGTCACAGGGGGAGTACTTTGAAGGGGATAAAATTGATTTACCTGAATAATTGTAAAATAAAATTTTTAAAAAACTTTTATACGTACTTTCCGGACAAACCTCGTAATAGTTGTAGCACTTCAGCTGCCCGCTAACAACATGTTTTCTAACTGCATTGGGTTGACTGGAAGAGATCTCTGTCAGAGATAAGTCCATCCTTGCTCACAATATTTATAAATGCATTAACAATGTAATTTACAAGTGCAATAAAGAATATATATATGTATTGTTGCCTGCTTAATACGCGAAAATATTGTTGCCTTTAAATTATTATATTATTTAAATGCTCCTTTCCACTCAGGGTTTGCTAGAAAAGAACTTTTACAGAGTTAAGCTCACCTGTTGTACATCTTTATTTGAAATAAATTATATGAATGTAATTTTTTGTGTACGAAAAAGTATAAATAAATAAATTGACGAACTAGTATTCATTTAGACCAAAATTTATAAAGCTCTTATTTGGTCTCGAATTCTAGGCATTCTCTCAAATTATCACCACAAACCACCAACGTTTCGACATTATCGCTGACACAGGTCATACCGATAAGAACAATGTAAAATTTCGTTGTCCAATACTCAGTATTTGGTTTAATTTCATTAGACCCAGTCAACATGACATTATTTATTTACATTTTATTGATTTCAACAATTATATATAAAGAATCAAAAGTTTTGGGGCAATGTACAATGGAGTCATCTAGCATACGTATTAAAAGACCCATCTACGATTTCACGATCAATTTAGCAACAAGAATTGCTCAAGAGAAGGATAACCATTTCATATCATCCACGTTGTCGCAGTGGACGCTAATTTCGGAACTTTCATTGGGAGCTACGGACGATACGCTAGAGGACATACAAAAAGTACTTAGACTTCACAAACACAGGTGTTTCAATGAAAACTATTGGAAAATTATCAAGTCTTTACTAGATTCCGGTGATGTCACTATTGGAAGATCGTCAATGATAATTATAGATAAAGAATTTGAGTTAAAAGACGCATTCAGTAATAGCATCACAAAAACGGGACTATGTGAAATATCTTTGCAGGATTTCGAAGAGACTATCACTTCGGCGACGGCTGTTAATGATTATGTGAATCAAGTAACACAAGGAGTCATAGATGATGTAGTGACCCCCAACGACTTTGACAGTTTGAATCTTATTTTAATCGATGCTTTATATTTTAAAGGAACCTGGTCTAAAACATTCGCAACCACTAATACCGATACTGCATCGTTTTACGATGAAATAGGTAATCGAGTGGGTGAAGTTAATCTGATGTATGTCAATGATAAATTTAACGTGACTACGATTGAACAAGTAAACGCTAAAGTACTTGAACTGCCTTATGGAACAGATAGCGGTTTTTCTATGTTGATATTCCTGCCCGATGTTGGAACCCAGCTATCTTCTGTTATATACAACTTAAAGAAAATCAGTTTGGCCACTGTGTTCAGGAAATTCGAAATGGAAGGGCCACGTACAGTGACAGTGGAGATACCGAGATTCAAGATAACATCAGATCTGGACAATTTGAGAGAACTACTCAGCGATATGGGTTTGAAGACAATGTTTGACAGTACTAGAGCGAGCTTCTTCTACCTATCGGATCAACCTCTGTACGTTTCAGACTTCATACAGAAAGCTAGCATTGAAGTGACTGAAGAAGGCACCGAGGCAGCCGCGGTTTCTGAAGCAGGGTTAAGATGGAGAACTTTGGATGAGGAATTCATTGCGAATCGACCATTCGCGTTTATAATCGTGAATTCTCGTAGTCAATTGCCATTGTTTATTGGGGCTTACTCAAAGCCGAGTGTTTATTGAGTTTGTGTAAAAAAAATAATTTGCAACATTGTTTTGTATTTATAACTAATGCATACGACATCTTTCTAACATAACAAAATAAAATTTGAGTATGATGTATTGTAGTAGAAATAGTAATAACCTATCTTACACGTTATATAAAACTAAATCCTCCTTCTAAAATTATAGGCGTAAAAATAACTTCTTCGTATCATAACGCATTAAAAATAAAACGTCCACCACTCCTCATCTCCAGGATGTCGTAAGTGACTAAGGTATTAGAATAGGCTATGAAAGGAAAATTAAAATAGCAACCCTAGTTGCTCTAGCAGTAAACACTGACTGGGTACCAATGAGGAATAATAGGTGAGGATGAAAACTGATCAGTTGGTTATGACGAATTGAACAAGAATTAAACACTATTGTTTTTTTTTTAATGGGTGAAAATGGAATGGTGCACTCGCCTACGCTATCAGTATGCGCTGGTGGGTACTAATGCGAGATAGTAGATGAGTATAAAAACAGATCAATTTACCCATAGTGCCGAATTCAACAATAATTCCCAGAAGGAACCGTGTGGATGTAGACCTGATGGTATAGTGCTCGTAATAGAATTTTTATACCCCATTACTAACAATCACTCTCCTCCAAACACGATGGTTCCCAGTGGAACCTGACAGAATCATTATTATCATTATCATATCAGCCATGATGATGAATGCTGTCTCATATCCGATGGCTCCACGAAAAGTAAAAAAGTACATTATGTTCTTATATAGCCGAAATATTCACTCACATCCTGGTGTGGGCACTACACAATTCTGGACTTGGGGCACTAACCTCCCTCCCCCCCCCTGCCCTCCTAATTGTGCCTACGCCATTAAGACTGCAGCGATTCAGCAATGATACAGTAGATATAAAAAGACCAAGATACAGTTGCGATGCTGCCCCCACCCCCTCTAGACAAGATACAAACGAATCTATAAATAAATTCGCTACGGTCAGTGCTCGGATGAGAAAGAACGAGATAGAAATAGCCGCCACGAGTATCTCACGGACCCGTTAGCGATAACGATTCTATCGATAAATTAATTTGTCTTGGGGTGCTTAATCGCTTTTATCAGATATTGCAAATGCATCAAAACACTACAACTAATGATGCAGACAAGCGTCAACGATATTTGGTACCTACTGAATCGCTGCAAAATCTGTAGCTCGCTTTATTGAATTAGTAATTGCGCCTTGACAATTTTTATAGCAAAGTCACGAATCGTTTACGAATGGAATTCTTACTTAGATTGCTTTATCAAAACCTACAGGCGTATTTCAGTGTTTCTTGTGATGAAGCTTATACCTTTTTCTTTTTTAAGCAATTAATATAGTAATATATTTATATTAAGCCTTAATTAATATATTTAAGTAACTATTTATTTAGAGAAAAACTTATATTTTTCTCTAAACAAATAACTATTTGAATATGTGGTATGTTACTGACCATCATAATACGCCTATATATATTTTTATATTGATTTTATATTGTTTTATGTTTTTACAATTCTGTCATTCGTAGTCTTTATGTTTTACTGATGAAGATGTGATAAAATATCAAGCATCTTAATTATTTATTACCAGTTTCTCTTAAAATATATAATAATATACATATCTAATAGTATATAATAATAATAATAATATTTCTTTATTTACGGATTACTAAGATCCATTTTTGTTAGTAACAATTTACTTAAACTATGTTAGTAGAGAAAAAAAAAATACAAAATTCATTTTATGGCCCCTATAATAATTTTGACCCACAATGAGAGGATCGGGCTATCGTATTTATCAAATAATGTATAAGGAGCAAAGATATTATTATTGTTTCTTTATTTATTTATTCTTTTGCACATTAAAATATGTCTACAGTGTGGACTTAACGCCTGATGGCATTCTCTATTAGTCAACAATTATGTTAAACAGAGAGAGTAAATGGCGGTTCATTGAAAAAAATTACATAACGAAACAAAAATACTGTAATTTGAAAATAAAATAAATATTTTCATGTTAGTTTGTTTGTAACGAATATATTCCAATACTACTCAACCGATTTTAAAAATCCTTTCACCTGAAAAGAGCTGTTATCCAAAAAATAATATTGGATAATAGACTTTTAAAATATTCGAAAATAAATATCCGATCGATACCGGCGATATCGAAATGTGTGATAACCTTTTTCCCGCCATCAATGTTCAGAGGAACTCAATATATAGATATCGAATCGGTATCTGTATTACCCATCTCTAATGTGAATACAGTTATACCCCTTATTTTTTTTTTATGAGTGACAGTAGAATGGCAACCCTGCCTACGCTATCGATGCTGAGAACCAATGTGTAATTATAGTGATGATGAAGACAAGTATAGGTAAGTTAGTACGCGTACTTAATGGGGAGAGGTGTTTTTTCTTTTTTACTCAATTTTTTTTAATGGATAAAAGTAAAGTGGTAACACCGGCTGCGCTGTCAATAACCCTTATGTTGGCGGGGTACCAGTGAAAGATGATAGGTGAGTATGAAAGCAGATTAATTATCCCATCGTAACAAATTCAATGATAATCAACCATGATAGTTTCCAGGGGAAACCGCGTGAAGGTGAACGAGATGAGGGCACATCACTACAGGTTGTTAGACCCCATTTTTTTTTGATGGGTGAAAATGGTATTGTAACCCTGCCTGCGCTAACGGGATACGCTGGCAGAGCACCAGTGAAGGGTGATAGACGAGAATGAAAACAGGTCAGTTAGCCCATCATGATGAATTCATTAGGAACTAACCATGATAGTTTCCAGAGGGAACCGCGAGGAGGTCGACCTGGTTGGGTATATTGCTAGCAATGGGATTCTCAGTGTCCATTACTAACAATCCCTTAACCCCCTTGTGAGACCCCATTACGCACCATCTATTATGAGAAGTTCAACCCATGGAGCAGAACTTTTAGCTATACGCAAAAACCATGTCTAAGAGCACATAGGTATGCGTGTTTTTTAACGAGTCAGGCCCCCCTGGAAAAATTTGAAATACATCAATAGATAGATAATGGCAATTTAAAAAAATTTTCGTGTCTTTTTATCGTAATCATATTAGGTATAAAATAGATAGACATATTATAACAATCATTAATGTGAAAAAATGTAAGTACATATAAATTTTTTGTCCAATTTCCATTTTTTCCTACACGTTAAAATAAGTTGGCAACACGTGAGAGTTACCCTCAAAGATTTCTTGTTCTTAGTTTACTCTGCTTAGGTCTAGTATAGATGACAATAACCGTCCTTTTTCTTCGCAATAATCGGGTGAAAAAGATGTTGAAGAGATCAGATTGTCTATCAAAGCTGATTAGAATTTGATCAGTATCTACACTATTTTGTATGTTTTAAAAGGTTTTAAGTGTCGGTTGCATGACCGTAGACTATCTGTTACACAGCTGGTGTTGTCTAATAAATGATTATTAATTAATCGATTATGTTCTACCTAAATAATGGTAAAGTTATTAGAGAATATATAAATAAGGTATTATAATATAATAATTAATATGTAATTATAATATATAAATAAGGTTTTATGCAAAATAATCGATTATAGTAGAGATGGTCTGAAACAGGTAAAATAAGAAACCTTTCACGCTTATTTTTGTTCCAATATAAAAATAGATCCACTAACTTATTCGAAAATAACATTAAGTTATATCGAAACACTATTTCAATATAGAAGATTGTCCAGTTTTTATCTCTTTCTTGCATAGGTTAACTATATATGGTAGATACGCGAAGAGTATTTTCTGTGTTTAGTTAGGTTGATGTAGTCATTTGTATAACCAGAGTCGCTATCATTTTAATGAAATAGTTCTGAGTTGTTTTTCATCAAAATATTTCACCTCAGTAGATATAAATTCAATGCTGTGATAATGTATAAGATAATATCATAATTACCTATGTGCATATCTATACATGTACGTATATAGACTACACATTTACATTTATTTACATCACCAGAGGGAGACTTTGTACAAAAGTTGTTTGCTTGGGTACCTCTGTCCCATTCGTGTTTCAAGCGTAAAGCATTTGTGTTTGCATGGCTATGTTTTGGTTTGAAGTGTGGGATATGGCGTGAATTTACAGGGTACAGAGGAATAACATTTGAGTCCTCAGGAATGGCAACGCATGGGGGGTATCATGGACGAAACAGTATACTCTGTTATGTCCATGTTATTGCTCATATCTATAGGCGACGGTTACCACTTTCCATCAGGTGGGCCGTCAGCTTGTTTGCCATTCTAAGTTGTATAAAAATTCACACTCTATAATTCACACTGCCCTACCCACCTATACATCAATACCTCTTTACAATTATTTATCATATAATTGTATTACGTAATGATTGCTATATATGTCTGAACTGTAGCAATATAGATTTTATTTAATTTATATATTAATCAACCGACTTCATGGGCATTGTTATAGTTTCTTTCACATACACTCATTCTAACTTACTTTATTTGTTTTAGAGTTATAATTTTTATTTATATAATTAAAATCCATTATTGGCTATATTTATAAGAAGCTTAGCATGTAAGTTCTTATTTAAAAGAGCTATGATTTTTTTTATTAAAAAAATAAATAAATTGTTATTTCTGAAACCTGTTTTATGATACAAAATTTGCCTTGCCACTAGTGGAAAGAAAGCCATTATTAGTAATGGAGCTAAGACTAATTTAAGAGATTTGTAACAATCTTTTCATGACTTTTTTCTACCCTGCTCTCTTTATTCTATTGGAATCTATTGGATTCTATTCGATCGACCGTCGCATGGTTACCACGGATAGATGTAATTAAATGCCTGGTAAATTCGTCACGATAGTCCAACCGAGTTGATTTCATACTAACCCCTTTTTTTAGCTGAAGTATTACAGAATAATCTTTTATAAAACCTCTTTTTACTCTACTGACAGGTCTTGCACAAAATATATCTTACCCACATTCAATTTAGGTCTTGCTCCGTCACTACTCGCAAATGAATATCAACAACAAAGGCGAAATTACCATTCCATTTTTAACCAAGTAAAAAAGCTACTAACTACTAATTAATATATTATCAATTTAGTCAAATAACTCAATTATTGCATTATACTGACTCAAATCTGAAGATTAAGACCAGTACTCGAGTACTTGTATTTGAATATTGTCTGTCAAAATTCCATACATTTAGTATTAGAATATTAAAATACCTATTAGATATTCGAATCAGTACTCGAGTCAGCTTGAGCCAGCACATCACTACTACTCTTTGGACAATATTATTGTTATGTCATTTAAAATAGTCTGTAATTTGTTCGATTGTCTGTTTACGTACGTAATTACCTTCTTTATAAGATAAAAGTAATTAACTAAAAATATCGATACCTACTTGGAAAAGATTACAAATTATCATCAATACATTTAAATAACAAGTTGCAAAGTTTACAGTCATTGTCATCAATTAGAGCCTTTAGTTAACACAAGACTTGCGCAAATAAATAAATCAAAAACAATTTTGTTTTCAAACATTGGTGTTAAATTTAATAGTCATTATATTTGTGGTCTTTGAGGAAAGTGTAATAAAATTTGTGACGCAAAATGATGAACTGGTCTGGAGCTACGAAGGTTTTGCCAAAGAAGTAAGTGCAAACTCATTTTTAATAGAGTTATTTTTAATTAATTAATTACTTTATTTAATACTCATGCTTATAATAATTAAGTTGATAACAATATTTTTGATATTTTTTTTACTTTGCACTAAAAAGGTAATCCTTTTTTGTGAAAAAAGTTCTTTATTTAAGTTGAAAAAAAAAAGACCTGTCAATCTGCCACTTTTTTTTTATTGCTGTACATATTTATTGTAAAGCAATACCTACCTTTTTTATTGTCTTTTTGCTCGTATTAAATCTATAATTTGAAATAACAACATTTCAATATTCTAGACACTGCATGTGTTTAATAAATAATAGCAATTCAACTTTGCTCATGTCAAAGATCAAGGACCAAGGACTTATTGTATAGAAATAAAATAATGATTCTAAGTAATATTTATATATATGTATAATATATCTTTACTTATATAAAATTTATTAACAAAAGTTTTTAAATGTTATAAAGTGATGAAGTTAAAATTTGTTTTGCAATTTTTAATATTCACAAAATATATCTTTTCATAGAAAGTTGTCAAACCAGTTTAGAAACTATTTTTTAATGGCATGAAATGAATATATTTGAGTTTCATCGAATAAGAATTTTAAGAAATACTACGAAATTATGGTGATATTTAAAATAATAAAGACAAATGTAGTTAAAAATAAGCACTTATTTATTTATTTTAGTCTTTTACAAAGTTTCTAATTAAGTGATATGTACAAAGAATTTTATTTTTTATTTTATTTTTTATTAGAGTCATTGCATCCATTAAAACACAGGCCTTAATTATTGGGTTCTTCTAATCCCCAAGAGTATGCCAACTAAATCATAGGCCACCAGCAACTTATCAATCAAAATATTGTCTGAGATGGAGAAAAGATAATATATACATACATACTTGATCAATCAATAAATAAATTTAATATGACTACCTATGTTTATTACATAGGTATAGTATACTAGCTTTTTCCAGCCACTTTGTATGCATGGTAATTAGAAGTAGGGAAATAAATGAAATAGTCCAATGGATGATGGTTCAGTTTCAGGAACACAACTGTGAAACCTAAATAATAGCTTTTGGATGATGCCAAAACAAACAAACTGTATAGATGGACAGACAGACAAAAGATAAAAAAAATTGTTTTCATTTCCCTCTTGTAATGTTTTCTTAAGTATCTCTATGTACAGACACTGTTCAGCTACAGTATTATTATATTTAATGTGCAATTTATTTATCATCATCATAATATCAGCCATCAACTGTCCACTGCTGAACATAGGCCTCCACCCATAAGGGAGGAACTTTGCCTGCCACACTTGGCAGGTGGATTGGCAACTGCAGTTAGGCTTTGGAAATGTTTTGAAAGGGACATTGCTGCCCATCCCTCACTCTTTCTATGCCGGAACCACATGGGCATAATAAATAATAAAAAATAATTTACATTTACATGCTGAGTATCTCATAAGTAGGACCAATAATAGATTTTAATTGTATAAAACAAAATTATCTCTCAGTCTCGCTCTTCTTTGCAAACCAAAATCTAAGAGATTCTAATATTGAGATACAGGGAGTCCCCGAAAGTAAAACAGAAAACCCGCTTAGTATTATTAAGAAAATTGCTGAAACTGTGTCTTACAACCTTTCTGACACTGATGTTTTGAACTGTACAAGAGTTGCCAGTATGAATAGGAATAGCAAGCGGCCAAGAGCTATAATCGCAAAATTACGAAGTACACGATGTCGTGACGAACTGTACTCTGCCATTGCTAGATATAATAAGTCTCATCCCCACAATAAACTTAACTCATCAAACCTCGGTATCAGTGGTAATATTGTGCCAATATATGTATCGGAGCATCTTTCTCCTTTTAATAAATCTGTGCATGCTGCAGCCAGACTCAAAGCGAAGGAATTAGCTTATAGATTCGTGTGGGTATGAAATGGACACATATTTATGAGAAAAAACGAAACCTCACAATTTATACATGTTAAAAATTTGCAGGTGTTAGAGAATCTGCAGTGAATTCGTAGTGTACTTTTCATTTTGTTTTTTATTTTATTTTAATTGTATTTTTTCTGTAATTATCTTTTTAAAATGGGTAAGATGGATGTAACGATTTATTATCAGAATATCAGAGGTATGAAATCTAAAACGAATGATATTTATAAAACTATTATCTGTAATAACTATGATATAATATGTCTATGTGAAACTTGGCTCGATGATACGGTATATTCAGCAGAAATATTTGACGAACGGTATAAAGTTTATCGTAAAGATAGACCTATTGAATTTTTAACAAAATATAGTAAAACCCATGGTGGAGGAGTGTTAATAGCAGTAAATAAAAGTATTTTATCGGACTGCAGATATGATTGGAATTCGTCACTTGAAGATGTATGGGTTAAAATTAAGCTAAAACATATTTCTTTAAATATTTGCACAGCTTATATGCCTTCATATATTGCGAGTGAGCAGTTCCTTGACTATCTAGAGATTTGTGAAGAAAGAATGTTATCGTCGTTTGGTGAACATTTTCTTATTATAGGTGATTTCAATCTACCAGATTATGAGTGGGATAACACAAAAAAATTTAAAACTATTAATGAGAAATATTTGCTTATGAGAGACTTTGTATCTCGAACTTCACTCGCTCAACGTAACTTTACTTTTAACAGCAATGGAAAGCTTCTTGACTTGATATTGGCGAGTACTGACTTGGTATGTAAAGTGATGGACGCACAGCCACTTAGTCGTGTCGATATTTACCACCCCCCTTTAGAGATTAATATTACCGCAGACAATACTTCATCATTAAAGGAAAATATCATTAAGAGATTTAACTTTCATAAATGCAATTTTTTAGGTTGTACAGCGGATCTCTCGAAAGTCGAATGGCATAAATACTTGAATCTTGATTGTAATAATTTCTTACAGTTATTTTATAATGTCATATGGGAAATTATAGAAAAATATACTCCCGTGGCCAAATCTAAAAAATCCAAATATCCGTCCTGGTTCTCTCAATCCCTGATAAAAGTATTAAAGGAAAAGAATAAATATCATCGCAAATATAAAAAGTTTAGCAACCCACGTGATTTTGACACGTATTCGTTACTAAGATCCAGATCTAAAGAGTTATTTGATAAAAACTTCAAAATTTACATATCACAAATGGAAGAGAATATAAAGACTAATACCAAAGCATTCTGGAGATATACTAAGGCTAAAAAATTAACAAACGATCTTCCAAACCAAATGTTTTACAAAGAGCAACGTGCAAACGATGGTTATAGTGTTGCTAATTTGTTTGCAAGTTATTTTTCTTCCGTTTACAGCCAGTCTACCGCCAAGTCATATACCCCAAAGTTTTCTCAGGCAACGCAATGTCTGTCTCATATTTATATTTCAAAAGACGATGTTATCAAGTCATTGAAATCTATCGATGCTACTAAGGGCGCAGGGCCCGACGGAATACCGCCAATATTTGTGAAAAATTGTGCAATAGCATTGGTTGAGCCTCTAACTATATTATTTAACAAGTCGTTGTCATCGGGAAGTTTCCCTGATTTATTCAAAATTGCTAAAATTGTGCCAATACATAAAATAGGCTGCAAAGCAGATATAAGTAGCTATAGACCAATAAGCATTCTTTCTTGTTTTGCTAAGATCCTGGAAGGGCTAGTGTATAAACACATCTATTCTCATCTTAGGCATATTATTGATTCCAGCCAACATGGCTTTATAAATAATCGTTCCACATTGACAAATCTTCTTGAATATATCCATTATATAAACGTAGCCTTTAATAACAAAGTACAAGTTGATTCAATTTATGTGGATTTTGCGAAGGCTTTTGATAGGGTTGACCATGAGATACTTTGCATCAAAGCACATCATTTGGGTATTCATGGCTCACTTTTGCTTTGGCTTAAATCTTATTTAATGAATCGTCCGCAAATCGTAACTATTTACGGCTATGATTCAGTCCCGTTTGAATTAAAATCTGGTATACCCCAGGGCTCCAATTTAGGCCCTCTATTATTTATTTTATTTGTCAATGATCTTCTCCAAACTTTAACATGTGAGCATTTAGCCTTTGCTGACGACATAAAGATATATCGCACGATAAGTTGTGATCTAGATTGTGAAATACTGCAGCGAGATATCAATCGTTTGCATCAGTGGTGCATTGATAATAATATGAACTTGAATATATCTAAATGCCACGTCATATCTTTTACTAAAAATAGAATTCTTATAAGTTATCCATACTGTGTTAATAATATGCGTTTGGAAAAAAAGGAATCCATTCGTGACTTAGGTATTATATTTGACTCAAAATTGTCATTTATACAACACTATGATTATTTAGTTGCAAAAGCAAATAGAACTCTAGGGTTTATCTTTAGAATAACTAGACCTTTTAAAAACTCGCATACTATCTTGTCACTCTATACATCACTAGTTAGAAGTTCACTTGAGTACTGTTCTGTTATTTGGTCTCCTTTTTATCAGAACCACATTGACAGAATAGAAGCAATTCAAAAACGCTTTGTTAGATTCTTGAGCACTAAGTTTGGTCTGAGAAGGAAACTTCATTCGTATGAATTAAGACTTAATCACTTTAACATTAATTCTCTTATAAATAGAAGATCTATGTCTGATTTCATTACTCTTTATAAAATAATAAATTATAAATGGGACAGTAGCACATTGTTGAGCCTTGTTTCATTTCGTACAGGTAATAAAAGAATACAAAAATTATTTTATATTCCGATTTGTAATAATAATGTATCGTATCACAATCCAATTATCCGCATGTGCAGAAAATATAACAATGTATGCAAGGACCTTGATATCTTCCAACAATCCTTGCAATGTTACATTAAGGCTGCCAATTTGTTACTTTAAATTTATAGCCGTCATTCTTTTAATGTATATAATATCGAATGTTATGCAGAGCAGTTATTGGAGTGCAAATT